ATATTTTTGTCAGTAAGGGTAATAAATAGCCTGCTGAGAAGAGGAAAAAATCCATTTGAATGCATGCGGCAGGTCCACAAATACCCTGAAGGTGAAATGCCAGTGCAAAAAACCGTTTTGTTCTTGAAGTCGGAAATTGGAAAGTAACATCAACATGACAAGTAAGGGCTAGCCCCATCTGTACAAATCCCCAGGAAAACTTATGGTCTTACCTCATGCCTCAGAGAGTAATTGAACCCGAGGGAAACTCCAGAGGACATTCAAATGTTTTCACTTCTTTACCGTTATTTAAGATTTGAGACTTTGACAATAATAAGCTTATGTTTTACCAACTATGTAACAAAAATATTAATATGCCCTTTCACAGAATATAATGTCCACTTATCTCCTTTTTACACACATTTTAAGAATCTTTTAGATGTGATTATTGATTTTCATGAAAAAATTGCCTCGTCTAATTTTTCTTAAATACAAGAATTGCTTATTTATTAACAAAAGACCTACCAAAAGGAATTTTACCCAGAAATGATTTTTAAAAAGATTATACTGTTTGTCTTTTTACACAAGCTTGTTTATATAAATGTTAATTTAAAACATTCAACAGGATAAAACACAACCTGAAACAACACATAAAGCTAACCCCACAGAAACAGCAGTTTAAAAACTATTTTTAAAAAGAAGCAGATAAAAATGTTTACAGCACCTGAGGGACCATTGGAAGCTTTGGAGCTCCAACTCCAAAGAAGCAAATTCAACTGGGGACCTCCCCTACTTGCTTCCCACTGCCCCCTGCAGCTGGGATGCATGAAGAATCAAAGAGGGAGGCAAAAACTCTGACATATTTTCTCAGAGAAGCCCACAGATGCTTCTTCATCAACCCTTTGCTTGTGCTAACTTGATCTAAAACTAGCTGAACATGGAATTTCATTTTTAAAGCAGATTGTAATTTGTATTACTTTTGTACACAATGTGGACCTCCATGAAACAACTTTGTGCATATCATCAAGGGGAGGCCCAACTTTTGCACAAATCTGAAACTAACTACTTGAAATTTTAATGTAGACACACAAATTGTGTGCATATGTAGTCAGAAGATGATAATTCCATAGTTTTCATGTTAACGAACAACAAATTGAATAACCATGTGCAACTTTTAAATGTTTCATGAAAATATTTGTTTCAAGAAGGTCTTGCTTCACTTAATTTCTCCCCAGTCACATCCTCAATATCTGGTACAGTAATTATTTATATTTATTATTAGCATTTATATTAACATTGTGCATGGGCTTATCTGTAAAAAGTATCAAGGTGGAGCAAAACTATTATAAAGAACTATGATTTTTTAAAAGTTTTCCTAGAATACCGGAAATTTCTTATTAATTCCTTTTTAGAAAAAGGTTTCTAAGCCAGATGTTGATGCTAATGATGCAAAATGAGAAAACCATATCCAAGAGACTTAATCTCATTTGTACCTCTCCTTGCTATGTGTAGCCATGGTTCACTGCTGCATCAGCTTCACCCACTATGATTATTAACAACAATGTTCTCTTAATCAGGGTTTGCAATTATGTTTCATAACATTTGTCTTTTCTGTTAACCATGGCTACCACTGACATGCAATGATAAGATATGAAAAAAAGAGTGGGCAGCAAAGAAGACGCCAAGTCTCTTGAATGCGTCAGCATGGTCAAGAGACCAAAATGCTACATCTGGAATCAGTCTATATATGTATGTTTTGTAGTATTCATTCCCTTCCCTATTTCTATCCTTGCTCTTCCAGTCTAACTGTTGACTTAAGGCCTTCTTGAGTTAAAAGCAACTACTGAAATATGCTCATAAAAGATAAGTAAAAATGCAATAATCTTCTCTAGGCATTTGACCTACCTACTAACCATTTCAGTTACATTGCTTTTCTTTTGAAATAGCACCTGTTGTTCTCTAGAAGAAAGGAAGCTGCAGGGCACAAACAAATGAAAATATTTGTTCAGAGTTTCACACATTTATAATGAGATATAAATGCTGGAGAAATTAATTCGCAGTTGAATACCCTTGAATGCACAGACTCCACAAGGGAGTAATCAGTTGTGCTCCCAACCTTTTATTTAGCTCTTCAAAGTGTAAAATCCACAACACACACAAAGGCCATGTTTAACAGTTTAGTGCACTTGTGTGCGCACACATTTTCTCAAAACACTTATATGCAGATAGTAGAATTGGCAAGAGGTCAGACTATGTTCTAAATCTAACAATCATTTACCACATAGCAGGTTGCTAGAAACTATTTTTCCCCTAGAAACCAGTTGTTTTCCAATTATGATTACACAGAGTTTTCCCAAGTGCTGCAATGGGATCCTTAAGCTCATGAGTCTATTAGTAGAATCACAGATGAAGATACAATAAAAATCCCCAAGTCAACCTTAAGATTAAAACAAATTTAGCCTAGGAGTTTTAATAGAACTATGTTCATCTTTTGTCATTATTGTACTGATAACATTTTGTGCTGATAGAAAAATGGCTAGAAAAGCTGAAATGAAAAGTCACACAGAAAGGTGAGTGAATACATTTAAACTTTGCTATTGTCAGATTGTAACATATTATCCTAAACATCTGATCTGAACTGACAGTTCCACCCTAAGTAATTAACTTGCTGTAACAAATCTTAGAACTAGACTGTGTATTTAAGATTTACACTGATATTTTTAGATCATTCTTCTGTATCAACATTCAGAGTAATTTAATTTGTTTCATTAGGGAAGGTTGACTCAATCCTTTTAAACTTTCAATTCTTTTAAGAAATATAAATTTTGGACAAGCTGAAAAAAGGGGCCTACATGCTATAGATAACCTTTCAGCCAAGCAGTAAATCCAGAGGATTTTTGAACTAAAATAGACGGTTAACTCTGAGATTCCAGGAGCTCCCCTAAGAAGAAAGAGTTTCCATAAAATTTCCTTGAAGTTACCTACAATATATGCTACATATAGGAAAGCCTGTGATCATATTTGTGACACATTATACATGCTACTCTGTTTCTACATAAATAACAAAATTCCCCATTTAAACAAACAAAAATAGGGAAAGAAACTTTCTTTAATTCATAAAAATATCCTCACACTGTTTGCATTAATGGCACTTTCTTTAATAGCTCTTTTTTCCCCAAACGATTTTGTGTGTTTTTAAATTAGGGTTTATTTTTATCTAGTAGTTTGCACATGTAAAACTAGATATTTAACATTGCTGAGTTAATAACAAAGCCAATAAAGAGCTAATTTCAATGCATTTTAAATCAAAATATTGTCATGGCCTCTGCCCCATTTGAAAAAGGTGGAGAAATGATGAGACAAACACTGAGCACAAAGACTTAAATTAGCTTTGTAGTACTAATTGGACAGAATACTTCAATCTGCAAAGTTGATTAATGGCCCTGTTCTCAGGCTAGGAAAAGCAAAGGCAAAAGAATCAGCACAGCTCTGAATTTGCATAGTTCTATAATTACAACACTCTTCAAAGCTTATTCCCTCATTGAATATTTCTTCACATTAATGTAGTCATATAATTTCTGTAGGTCTTGCTGCCAACATAGATATACAGCATATATGTATTCACTCTATACAATATATATGTATTCACTCTAGCTACAAGTGCTCTCCTCAAATTACATTTTTAAAACTTCCAGAAAACTAATTAGTCTAAAACAGTGGAGGACAACTCCAGGTGGTCAGTGAGCCATTTTTGGTCACCTGGACCGCCAACCACCTGCACTCCACCGAGAAAAAACCTGGACAAAATTGGGTTGGCAAAACTTTTGAACAAGTTGTGGCCTATTAAAACGCCTAAACTGGCAAAACTAGCCTCTAAAAATTGGTGGAAAAATGACAATATTTCTTTCACCTTTTCTGTCCATGTCTTTATAGTCTAATGACCGAACCTGGAGAATATGCCTTAATGGGAAACTGCGCCTACTTTTGTTTGTAGAAAAAACTAATTTTTAAAATGCAGTTTACACCTGCAATCATGCCTCAGTGGTATTTATCTTATAAGCACATGCTTGCTTGTCCAGTTTCATCAAAAAAATATGAAAAACATTTCTAAAAGACATTTTACTATTGTAGTACAGTTCAAGAGCTTAACTGGGACTTGGGTGATCTGATAGTTACTGCCATAAAGCTCACCAGGTTACTTTGGGACAGTCACATATTCACAGTATAATCTACTTCACAGTGCTCTTGTGCTTGTGAGGGTGAAATGGAGAAGAGGGGCATCACATACACCACTTTGAATTCCTTGGCCATCAACATTACCAATAAATATACTAACAAATGTAACATCCATTGGGCCATCAAATTCGTTTTAGTCCATGTGAGATACAACCACCTTAAGGACAGATTCATCCCATTTTTAAGCATATGCCCAGCTACTCTTATTTTTCTAGGAAGCATGACATGTTTAAGCAACTTGGCTTCAAGAAGGTTCTAGACAAAGCATCTCCTCACATCTAAAAATCAGTATTCAGTACATCATTCCTGAACATGCATTAGGATCAACTGATGTTCTATGTAGACTCCTGTTTTTTATTCATGTGAAGTTGCTGCACAATCACGAGAAGCCTAAATCTGGGTCACTGAAAGCAATTAGCCTATAAAACGCAATTTATAGTAAAAACTAGAAACAAACTTAAGTGTTATACAGATGAGCCAAAATGTGTAGCACCCCTTATCTCTTCATTAGCTGTTTCAAAAAAACAAAGCAAAAGCAAAGCCAAGACAGTTTCTTGAAGATGAAGCTGGTGAAAATCATGCAAGCAATTCACAATGTCAGCTTTAAGAATAGTAATTGTCAAATATATAATTGATTATATTTCAAACATAAAGAATATGTGCGTATTTGTTGTTACTGTTTTGAACAGAGGAAACTGAACTATTAATTCCTTGCTCCTTTGGATAAAATGTGTTCATCTGTCTGGTAGGGAAACTGATACTCATGAGCCACCGTTCTCACTTACCTTATAGATAGCCAGAATGATTTGGTGTACTTTTAGCCTGTGAAATACAAAGATATCATAAACTGCTGATACTGCTAGAACAGTCACTCCTTGCTCCTTCCACAACATGCTGCATGTGGCACATAGTCCTGTACCCAAGATCCAGCCCCACGTTCCTTCTGAGTAGTTTCTTGCGCAACAGTGTTTAGTATAGCACAGAAGGGAGAGCAGAAAGAAGAGGCATGCTCCAATGTCAGCCCGTCCCACAATTCCTGCCACTGCTTCAGTATGAATGGGATGAGAAGCAAACAGCAGGCCAGCAAGTAAGGTCCAATATCCATCACCAAAGAGTATTCGTGAAAAATTTGTGAAAAGACCTGTGACTGCAGCATGTAAGAAGACATTGACAAGGTGGTAGCTCCAGGGATTCATTCCTCCAACAGCATGGTTGATGCGAAAGGAGAGTGTACAGAGAGGCCGGTAAGATTTATGGCTCCCGCTGTGGGTAAGGAGAGTGCCCCAAAAGTCATTGTAGAATATCTGTGTCCACGGTGTTTCGGGAAGTAGGTCTTGGTTTGTCTTGATAGCTCGGCTAAAAAAATAAAACACAGAAAGAAAGGATCAAACTACACAATCACTAGAAATGAGATTGCTACAACTTACTGTAGACTTCCTGTAATTACTATATGTAGGGTTTACTGTATTTATTAAATAAGCACAAAAGGCTTTGATATCAGAGCTATACTACTCCTTAAATGCCACAGTGTTAGAAGTGTCTCTTCTATTAACTTTTTGCTACTATGTATTTCCATATAAATTGGCTTTTAAAACCTCAGAAACAGATGCTACTCTGGATCTAGTAAATTAAAACACCCTTCAGTGACATTCATCTGAGTCTAATCCAGAAGCAATCACTTATGAATTGATAGGTTATAATTAAAATGTAAAAGAAATATAAGTAATTGACAAAACAGTGTGGTTGAAGCTAGTGATTCCTCGGCAACTCCAAACTAACCCTTCAAATGGCTTTCTGTATGCCCACTTTCAAGTTACATTAAAGAATTAATCTTGCTGACATGGATTAGCCATAATTTCACAAGGCTACCAGATGTATGCTGAACTTTATTGCACTAATACTTTCCTTGACAGAGACACATAACTATATGATGAAGAGAACTCTGTAGCCCATTTTTATAGAAGGTAAATACATGTCACAAAGACCTGAAGGCGAGCTTCATAAAGCCACTAATTTCAAAGCCAGTGACTATTTAGTAACTTCTCTTCCTGTAGATAAAATTTGACTAGAATCACCCATTGAGTGCACAACACAGATTAAGTTAAAAACCTTTCTGGTTCACAGTTTAGTTTCTTAAGCTACTATATTACTGCAGCTCAAATGAAACTACAGTGAAAGTTTACCGTTTTTCTATACTCACCAGTTAATTTAGCATAAAGGGAGCTTATTCGTGCAGGAAGCTTGTGCACACATTTACTTTATACCCAGAAAAGGATACGAACCAGTGAATGTTTGGGTATTGCCCTCCTGTAGTTAAAAGTATCACTCTAAAAACAGGTGATATGTGACTGAAATGGTACGTGATAATTAGCGCATGCACAAGCACAGACGTCCACTACAATCAAAGTGTAACACTGGGAAGTCTGAACCTAGACTATGTTAAAAGAGTTTCCCCCCAGGAAAATATTGGGAAAATGTGATACAGAATGGCTACTGTAATAAATACTTCATTACAATCTGTATGTACATGTTGCTAAAGATGCTAGGAAGCACAGCTTAAATATACGAAGGGCATTCACAAAAGCACCATAACCTCACTGATAGCACATTTGATATTGGGCTTAGGCTAGCTAATGAGAAATAAATGGGTAAATTATCCTGTCTGCCACAACCTGAAATGACAGTAAAAGAGAATTAATCAAAATCAAATTCCTTCATTGGAGAGGATGCAACAGAAGGTAAATGAAACAAAACCCCATGGTCTCTTAGGGAGACAAACTGTCACTCATGCTTTTGCATCTTTATTCATACAAACAAGTATTAATATTTTATTAATAAATAATAAATTGATTTCAGAAAATCTGAGCTCAGCAGTTCCATTGTCTAAATTTCCATGTTTCGAGCATTTTTACTTCCTATAGATACTTTCTGTTGGAATACATACACAGACAGTATAAGAGATCACAAAAAATATCCATTTAGAATTTTACCTCCATTTCTATTTTCACATAAATGTTATTTAAAAAGAACATGGCAAACAGACTAAGTCTTAGAAAGACCGAGTCAGAAGGGGTCTCCCAGATCAACTAGTATGATCCCTGGGTCCAGCCAGCTCCACTCATGGCAAGACTACCATGACATGTCTACATGCCTCCAGTTATGACATTCCCCTTTATCTCTAATAGATTTATTGCCACTTATTCTTTGTTCCATTTTGGAATTCAAATCTTTCAGAACATGAGGTCACAAGTGAAACACAAGTCTCCCAAGCAAAAGACATCTGATGGGATAATGAAGACAATCAAGGGTTACTGCCAATTTACTCCCACTGCCAAACAAGTGTTGCTTTTAATGATGGAAGACACCCCCCGCATTAAGAAAAGCATCACTGAAAGAATAGTCCATCATATCAATGAACTCCAAGAGGTTGAAAATTACAGGCAGAAGGGCCAGCAAATTTTGTTACATCAGGCAAACACACTCAAGTGTTCTTTGTTAAAACAGCAAAAACAATATATCTATGCCTTTTGAACTATATATGGCATTTCCTCACCCACTTCTTCATTTTATTTCCCCATGCTAAGACCAATTTAAAAACAATAGATTTCTGTATGATCATTCAGGAGACCAACTTCAGGGTTTACACGAACACCCCAGAAATGAGACCCTACAGTAACTGAGAGTTGTGACAAGGTAGCTTGTTTCTGGTGCTCTTCCCACCTACGTGACACTCACTGATTTGGTTCAGCCCTCAAGGAGTACTGCAGCTAGTCAGCACAACTCAAAGAGACAGGAGTGTGTATAAAGTAAATGTTTGCTTGGTCATGCTGGCAGTGGCTGATGAAGCTTATCTCAGGTTTTACCTTCTGCCCATCTCTGGTCTCGATGAACTAGGATCCAATATAAGAAAGGCCTTGCTGCTTGGATATAAGGGCAGAAGCAGGACTGCTATTTCAATCTGCACAAATCATTGGTTGGACAAGGTGCTCCAGAAACTCCTGTGCTTTGTCTTTTCTCCATTAGCAAGACCAGCCAGAAAGTGTGAACTCCTAATCAAAAATGCCTTCCTACAGCTTTTCCTCACATGCCTGACATTCCTGAAATGTTACTGCCCTCAAAAGAAGATGGGATGACTAAGTCTGCTGGAAGGGTCCAGAGCATGCAAATCACCCTAAACTCAACAACAAGAATATATCATCTAAAAACACTTTGTATGTGCAAGGACATTCTTTGTCATGGAATAGAAGTAAAAGGCCTAGCAATGAAACATACAGGCCATTAGAAAGCAACTTCTGAAACTATAAATGAAAGCACCAGAAAGTACATTTTGTTGGAATGTGCAAGGCCTTATACCAAAAGGATATTGTTTGTTTTGTGTCATATTTATAGTACAGTCCTGAGTGGACCTAATGCATATTACTTCAGTGCAACAATAAACATCCCTTTCCTAAAAGGAAACTTGTTTCATTATTGGGGGAAAAGCCATGTAATTTGAAAAACACAACTACTTTATGTAAGACCAGAGCAGAGTAATGCAAAACAAAAAGATACATACCCATGTATACATTGAAAAGTATTATTAAGTCTATTGACTAACCTAGTCTAGTATTTGCATATCTAGGTTTAACCTGGTACCTTCTGTACAAAAACTGCATGTTCTACCACTAGCAGCTTCCAAAAGTCTTTAATATACATGTACAAACATAGGAAACAATCCCAGAATTTTAAAAAGCTTCCTTCTATGAAGTTTTATACCAGTTGTTACCCTGCAATTGTAGATATGTAAAACAGACTCACTGAAAAATCTATCTTCTTCCTTTAAGACTTCTCAGGCTTATGAAACATTAGGATGCAGCTTCCATCCACACTCCCAGGAATTACAGCAGCAGGAGTGAACAAACCTGCTCAGAAACCTCTTTCTTTTCACTTCCAGTAATAGACTATAGACTTCTGCATTTCCCATTCAAGTTTTCTGTTCATGAAAACTTTCATATGTAGATCAAATGTTGCCAGACTGAGAATGCATGGCATTTGTTAAGTGTCACAACAACTTGGGCTAGCGAAAATGCAACTGATATATGCCAACATCTGTCAGATGCTACTGTTAAAAACAAACAAACCACAAGAAGGACCATTTACATTATACTGCATCTATTTGTCAGTTTCCCTAGTCTAGGCAATGCAGTCAGTGATATTTTGAAAAATCCTCCTCCCTGGATGTTTTTACTTAACTATTTATACTTCCCGCTATTGGATGAACACATTGAGAGGGTGAGGAGGTTTGAGAGGTTCACAGGAGCCAAGAGGTCAGATGCTGCTTTCCTAGAGGGTCACCCAAGGCTAAGACACCAAAGTAAGACACATCCACCTTCTTCGGGAGCAACACTCTCATCAGCAAAAGAAAACTGATATCTATAATGGTGATGGGGCAGAGAAACTCCTAAAAGGCTGCAGTGGTTGTGGAAGATGACACAAGGGATTCTAGATCAAATCAAGCTAGCACTTGTCCTTGAAGCAAAAATGACAAAACTGAGGCTGTCATAATTCAGGTACATTCCAGAGTCACTAGAGAAGACAATAATACTAGAAAAGTTGGAAGCAGAAGCAGGAGGAGACGACCAAATATGACACAGATAAACTCCATAAAAGAAGCAACATCCTTGAGTTTAGAAAAGCAGAACAAGACTATCAAGGATAGTACATTTAAGCAGGCATTCATTAAGATGATCTCTGTAAGTCCAAAATGGCTTTATGGCATGTAACAACAAATTTGTTAGTGATGGAGATTCTATCTATAACCCTAGGAATACCAGACTCAGAATTCCTAAGACATGGCAGAGATTGTACATTTCGACTGCTTCCTCTTTTGAAACAATATTTCTTCAAGGTTTCTTATAAAAATCAGTACAAAGATCGTTTCCACTATTAAGATCAAAAGATGCACAGAACCCAATGATATAGCATGTTAAAGAAGTTTCAACATTAATAATAGATGCAGAGGTAGTAGTTGTTGCCTGAACACTAACACAAAACTACATTTCTTTAAGTAAAGCTATGGGCTTTATTTAAAAGACAAAACAACCACCTTTTCCAGTATAGTCACCTTATAAGTAGAGATACAATAAGCAAAATGGAATGAACATTCTTACATTCTCCTTATCATATAAAGCTGAATTCAGATGTAAGCAATTGTCAAGAATGCAAATGACTGTATCTCTCTGTGACACAAGTTTTAGATTTGTATAGCTATTTTGTAAATGTTTTCCAAGAAATTAAGCAGCAACTTTCTACTTGATGAGCTATCAATGGATATGACATTGGTTGTGTGAACTATACAGTACTGTTAGTAATACCCT